AAAAAAAAACATCATATCTGTTTTATAAAAAATATCATTCTTATAGATCTACAAAAAAATAAATTTTATTTTTTAGATAAATATATATATACTATTAATATTGTTATAAATATTTTATCTATGCAACAGTATATTAAAAAAGAACATATTATTTCTATTGTAGCTGATTGACCTAGACAGATTTACATCAGAATAGTGATTTTATGTTTTCTATTTTATAATAATTTATCAGATATTACTAATACTATTTTATTTTTTTTTCTTGTAATAGATCCTTTTTATATTTTATTAAATAGTTAAAAACTAGTGTTTTTTCAATATTAATCTTTTTTCTCAACTATATATAAATATATTTTTGAAGAACAAAAACCTCTTGTACAAAAATTCAAGTCATGATACATTAATTTCTTTTTAAAGATTTCTTGAAATGCTTGACAAGAATCTCAAAAATTGTTAAGAAAAATTTAAATTTAGTAAAGATGCTAAATATTTTATATTTAAAAATCTTCTTAACAATTTAATCCTTCTTGTTTTGGATATTTATGCAGTATTTTTTAGATCTAAAGATTTTAATGCTTACTTGAAATTTTGCATTTATATTTTTTTAAGTTTGTTATAAAAACTATAAGAAGATACTGTTAATATTTTTTTCAGATATTTTTTATTAAAAATCAATTAATTATTTAATTTTAGAGTTCATCAAGACTGAACTTTCCAAGTTCTCAGACTTAATTGTAGAAAACTTCTATAGTTTTTTGTTCAAAAATACACAGAAACATGATGATGTAAAGCAAATTATTAACTGCAGTTATTATCTTAATAAGTTGCATCTTAATTGCAACAAATTTAGAAAAAATTTTATATACATGTCTATGTAAGCATTCTATAAATATTCTGTACAAGATATTACTAATCTGATAAAAAAAATGCTTGTTTTCTCTTACAATGTTTTTCAGAAATTTATACATATATGTTTTGTTATTAATTATTACTAACATTTTTACAATTAGTTATAAGTTTATTTTCAAAGAAAAATAAAAAAAATAAATTCAAGAGTACTGTTTTGTTAACTACAATTAAAATGCCAAAAACACAATTATGTTATCTTTCTTTGGATTTTAATATTTTATATAAATCTAATCTATTTCATTACTGTAATTTGTTTAACTGTTATCTTTTTTCTTCTATTAATACAAAATTAATTAGAATTCTAACTTGTGGGTATAATTATTATGAATCTTGTTATATTAATAACAGATTCAAATGTTTGCATTGTCTCTCATTCTTACAAGATAACATTGATGAATATATTCAATTCTTACTAAAACATTTGCAAAAATTTAAAAAGCATTACCAATTGAAAAATCAGAAGCAGTAGAATATATGATATTTGCATTAGAAAAGGCAATTTGGAAATTTAAAATACAATAAAATTTGCTGTTTTTTATTAATAAAATTTTATTGAATTATTAAACTATTTTATTTAAAATAATATTTACAACATAGTGCAGCTAATATTAATTAAACTTTTTTATTATATAATAACTATTTCATATTTATTTGTATTTAATTTTGGCATAAAAAATTACATAAATAATTATTTCATATTTATTTGTATTCAATTTTGTCATAACAAATTATATAAATAAGAATAGTAATTCTAGTATAGTGGTTGAGTTGTCATTCTTCAAGTGGCAGGTCTAAGATTCAAATCCCACCTATGCCGAAATTTGGAAATTATATCTGTGTTATGATAACTGTCTTCTGTCGATCGATTGGCCTTATGTGCTATTACCTAGATACACCAAGTCAGGTCCTATCGACATTAGAAGCTCAGGTATCTATGTGAAGTATAATGTTATATGTACATAGAGGAATGTATAACTAGTGTTGCATAAGACTTCGATGCAAACCTATGATAAGACCATCAGGTTTAGAAGACTAAAGAACTAAGATGATAGAAACCCACTTGAAAATTCCTGAGTAAAAAGGTAGCATGAACTTTCAATAGTACTATCAGACTGGTTAAAACCCATGAAACACCTTCATAGGAACCGAAGGTTAAAACCAAATATCAAATATGTGTAGAGGAGCATATAACCAACCAGGCCACTGGATTTAGCAAAAGAAAAGAATACTGAGTATATCATACCAGGCCATTTGGATTGGTAGTCTGAAATGAGACTGATGGTTCTGAGTTATAACTAGTAGGAGATAATAGAAAAGATGTTAGAAAAATAGGTACTAAGATTCTAATAAACTTTATAAGAGTAGAAATAGTATAACTTAGCAGTTAAACAGATAACTTCTATGTTTGCAAGTATTAGATAACTATAATATATTGCATAAAACTAGGTTTATATATATAGAACATAAAGGCTCTAGTAAGTTTTCTGTCGAGGATAAACTAGTTCTAAGGGTAACAACAAGCATCAAGAACTTGAATTAATGTAACTTTGAAATGTTTTCATGATACAAGAAGGACTGCATATGCAGAGGGTTTAAATAGGCAAGACCCCTAATCAGCTTGCAGGTATGGCAACTAGTGTAGAACTTATATAGCAATGTATAAGCAGACTACTTAAATTAGGCACCAAAAGTATATGTATAACTAGTTGTAACCTCTAATGTAAAGTAAGCCTCTAGTAGTATGTCATGTTCTAATATACTTGAATAAAAATATTGCATCTCCAAGATAGAAACTTTAATTATAAAAAAAAAAAAAAACAAATTACATAAATTCTTGTAAATCGAATGCTTAACTAGTACTTAAAATCTGCCAAAGATAGAGATTTACAGCAAAGACAGTGCCTGATCCAAAGTGAATCTCTCTTGCCTGTGATCAATCACAATTTAAATTATTTATGTTGGATTCAATAGTGATGGATTTAATTTCTTATCAGTTTTAATATACATGTAACATTAATGGTCTTTGCTGTTTAAAGATTCACATGCATTATTGATTGTTTGGGTTTTAATCACAAAGATACAGACATCTTTAAAAATGAAAAAAAAGCATAAGTAATTGCTTAAAATCTGCTAAAGATGGATCATATAATGAATGCTATTAGATGATGAACTTGTTATTAAAAACATATCAATCATTAATACTGAAGCTGAATATTTAAAGATTTTGGCTTTGTTAGCTTTGATACAATTTGTTTTATATTATCCAAATTTAATTTATTATCTACTCTTATTCGCTTGAATTTTAGTTTAATGCTCACATAAATTAATTAATTGTAACTCGGCGATTTTATTGGTTAATTATCATGCATGGATCTATCTAGATTAGCCAATCACATGAATGTCTTCCCATGACTACTACAGTCAAACCTATCTATAGTTACCCTCTATATATGCATATCATAAAAATTTGCTTTATAAACACATATACTGTATAGTGAAAAATTCTCTATATAAGCATATCATAAAATTTTTCTTTATAAGCACACCTATTTTAAAACCAACTATTGTATATATAGAATAAAAGTTCTCTATATAAGCACAGTTTTTAGAAACAGATTTTTAAAAAAGCATTATGGTTTTTTGGAGATGGTTTCTACTACAAAGGTCCTATATTCCATGCCATTTTTATTGTATCTTTTTTTCTAGCTAATAATTATAATGGTCTGATTTTAATTAGTATTCCTTGATGATAGGAGAATTAAATGTAACGATTATATATAAATGGACTTCTTTTTTTAAGTAAAAACAAGTGTAGTCTAGTTCAAGTTCCATATTATGAGTGCTGATAAAATACGTTTCATCATTTATTGGGGTCGAGTATATATGCTTTCGATTACGTCTTATACAGTATCTCGCTGATTAGCATTCAGGCGGTACACATACTGTATTACGATAAATCAATGCAAAATAAAAAAAAATATGTAGAATGACTATTTCGAAAGAACTAAACGATTCAACTTAAGACGAGATCGAAAAAATAGATTTGAGTTGTAATTGTTGGTGAAATGGTCATCGGCGAAATTATCAGATCGCTAAAATATTAGCGTTGGCATTAGTACTAAATAGCTTCATACTATAACTATGGCATATTGTACTTAGGGTTACCTATGGGAAATGGCTTAGGCAAACCCCCTTCGGCAAGTAATGCGAAGGGGGTTTTTTCTAGTACATTTCTCATATCGGTTTTCCGATGGTCGTTCGTGCGAAGTGATGCTAATCACGTGATCGAAAAGCGAGTTGGGTATATTCAAGCCATGCAACCGGCAGACTCCTTTATGGGGCAACTGATTGAAGGTTGAGAAGTATATGTGAACAACGCAGCAACACATGTCAACGATATAAGTATCAGATGGCTAAGTGACGGGAATGGTATGTATTGGTATATATATAAGATCCCAGAACAAGAAAACGAACTCCCTGGTGCAAAACCCAGAACGAGTAATTCGCGACCCACCCAATTGGATGCCACGTGATTTTGCCATTTCTCTACTCACCCGTCTCTCTGCTAACAGCCAGCCTGCTTCGGCAGGCGGGAAACCACCGGCTGTCAAATCCTACGGCGACTCCCAGCGCAAATGATGTTGCAAATTTTTTCGGGATGTCATCACCGTCCTGGCTATCACCGGCCCATTATTCATGTGCTGCTAACTGATGTCATTTTAATTTTTTTATAAATAAATGATCACTTCCGGCCTAAAATATTTTGCCGGCGTAGTCCAAAATTGAAAATGTAATACGATGCTTTTCGTGAAAATTCATAAAAAATATAAATTATCATGTGTGATGTCGATAATAGGTTAGATGAAATGACCGCCAGACATTCATACTTAAATGATTAATTGATTTACCACATTCGTAACACATGAATTATCATTATATATTTGATCAAAGAAACAGATGAAAAAAAAACATTCTTCTGCGTATCCGCTCCTGATTTTAACCCATTAAGTTGTGCAGCTAAATACGTACGTACATTATTGTTGATAATCTCATGGTCGTCAAATTTTGATTGTATACAAGAAAGCAACAAAATGAAAGCCATCGTAATAAACAAATTTCTAAAAACTGTCGATGAGCTCGAAGTTGACCTAAATGCACCCGAGCCTGAGTTGAAAAAAAATCAAGTTTTGGTTGAGGTTAAAGCATCCGCTCTTAATTATTTTGATATTTTACAGGTAATCAACGTCTTATTGAACTATTATTATCATTATTATTTCCTTTTCATTTTGATTTAATGAATAACGAAAATGGAAAACCTGAAAATATTTCAGATTATTCATTTTAAAGAGCTAATTATTTATTATGACATTATTTTTGACCTTCACGCGGATCTGAAGCTATAAAAAAGGCTGAATCCTATGACGTGAAAAATCAGAAAACCATGGTTTCAAAACCTCTTAAAATTAAGATGGTCGATTCAAATGACTCTGTCCAGAAAAGTTTTACTGATTAGTCATTCCGCTTTGTAATTGACTATATAGATCCAAGGAAGATATCAAGTTAAGCCACCATTTCCTTTCATACTCGGTGCTGAAGTAAGCTCTTATATATATATTATATATTGGAATTTAGTCGATTTCCTCATTATCAGTTATGATTTAATTATGCATTCACACTTCAAATTTTAGTTTGCAGGTGTAGTTATTGCTGTTCATCCTACAGTTAATAATAAATTTAAACCTGGTGATAAAGTTTTTGGATATGGTCAAGGAAGTTTGGCTGAACGCGTTGCCACAGATATTGACAACGTTCATTTGATACCTGATGGTATGAGCTTTGAAGAAGCTTCAGGATTATTTATTACCTGTCCTACAAGTTACACTGCATTAGTAATTAGAGCAAATTTACAAAAGGGTATATGTTTATATATATATATTGTCGTTAATGAAACGAAATTATTTAATTTCGCGCTTTTATTTATTAGATGAATGGTGTCTTGTTCATGCTGCAGCAGGAGGCGTTGGTATAGCTGCTGTTCAAATTGCAAAGGTGAATTATACTAAGTTTATTTGACCATAATTCAGTCATTTTCTAAAAAAATTACTTTATATAATCACACATATGATAAGGCTCTTGGTGCCAAAGTAATTGCTACTAGTGGTTCAGAGAATAAACTAGCTATTGCTAAAAATTATGGTGCAGATTTTGGTGTTAATTATAATGATAAAGATTGGCAAAAACAAGTATTAAAAATTACGGGTGGACATGGCGTAGACGTTGTTTATGACCCTGTCGGATTAGTTCAAGCATCTCTTAAATTTATAGGTATTTAAATAATTTAACAACTTATTTACTATCATTTAATTGTTTTTATAATCTCTTTTTTTTGCTCTAACATGTACACATCCACACTTTTATTCATTAAATAGCATGGAGTGGTCGTATACTCGTGATTGGATTCGCTGGTGAAAATCTTGAGAAGGTGCCCACGAACTTGGTTTTGCTTAAAAACGTTTCAATTATTGGTGTGTTTTATGGAACATATAAAACACGTGATCCTGAACGTGTTGTAGAAGTTTGGAATGGATTATTTAAGTTATTTGCAGAAAAGAAATTGAAATCTGTCGTTTATAAAAACGTTTATCATGGATTACATAACGTTAAATATGGATTAAAAGCTATTGCAAATAGAGAGACTTATGGTAAAGTTGTTGTTACAGCTAATGGAGGAAAAGAAAGCAAAATTTGACAAATGACGGTTTAAAGATTAGTTCGATAGTTTGATGTTTTGATCGGTCAAGTTAAAACTTTGAATTTTTTTTTACGTCTCTCGTTTCTGAATTCTGATTGGTCTATTTAAGGTCCTAAAAAATTCTTGACGGTTCTGTCTTTCATAAAACAGATCACTTTATTTAATGAAGTTATCTTGTCGCATTATATACTCGTTCACGTAAAAATTTGAAACTTTCGCCTAAAATAAACGCTAATTGTTATTATGATTTATTTTGTATTAAAAAGTAAAGTAATATAATGTAATAACTCTAGTTTTTTGTTCAAGTCTCTCCTAGTAAAATTTAGTGGAAATGTGAGAATTCTTCGATTTCCAACGACTATATAAAAAGTTAAATTTTTGTAAGTAATTTTAGGTGACATTAACGTTAATTACAAAAATTTCTATAACTTGAAGTTCTATCGTAAAAACTTTGTGCATCAATACTTTTTCAATAGAAATCACAGACACAATAACATTGTATCGGTATGATGCATTGATTAAAAGTATAAATTTTAAACTTTGTCTAATATCTCAAATAACTAAACCGAAAATTTTCTGGATAGTTCAATTTGTTCCCGAATCGGAAAGGAACTTATGTGAAAAGTTGGAAAGTATCTGAAAGAAGCCGAACTAATAATTTTTTAAATTTTCGCAATTCAATGACCTTAAACTTATTGTCTGCGGGAGAAGGATGGGCAAGGGTATATTTAGCAAATTTCCAAAGCAGAACTTATTAATAAAATCTCGAACCGATAATCTATCCCTTGATAATAAAGATTACAAAACCATTATGCGTGAAGTAATTTATTATCGTTATTCATTATGACTACATAATTGCACTATCTGATATGTAAACTACAGATGTTAAATTACAGAACTTGTACAAAGGACTGTCCAGCTTTGATTAAACGATATCTGTAAATATTTTAAAGTAATCATATTAAGTGAGATGGGAGAATTGTGGTCAAGTGAAATAACTTACGCCTCAGTGATTAAATTTGGATGGTTTGGTATCATTTAATTCGTCTCTTTGAGACGAATTGACTGGTGTCAATATCATCCAATTCTGATCTCTTGAGAAGTCCTGTTGATTCCAAGTAGCAGTTAGTAGGGGATGATAAAGAAGATATTAGAAAGATGAGTACTAGGATTTGTGTGAACTTTACAAAGGTATAGCAGTTTAATGGTTAGTCCTGATTGCAAGTGTTGGTTTCAGTTATAGCAGTATTGAGTTAATTGTAAGTGAATGAACTATTTTAAAGACTTTGTAATTATGATATATTTGTATCAGTAGTAATTAGAGCAATTGGTAGATAGGTAAATGGTAGATATAAGAATTAAAATATTTAAATAAAGAACTCAAACAGATTCTAAATATAATAATTAGTATAGAACTTTTAGATAGATTCTTTAAATTAGATAATAATTAAAGTTGTATGAGTTATTTGTTATATATTCTTTTTATGATTATCTTTATAATTGTTATAAAAACAGTTACTAGTTGAAACATACTATTAATAAAATTCTGGATTACAAGTATTTATCTTAATATTTAAAAAAAAATAATAATAATTAATATATATTAATTAATAATAATTAATATAAAAGAGTATAATAACTTAGTAAAATAAATAAGTTGTTACCTTTCTAAATAATAAATTAGAAGTTTAAAATTTATTGATAACAAAAATTTAAACAATTATCTGTATTATAATAACTGTTTTATATTGATTAGTTAGGATAAGATAGCTATAATTATAATAGTACTAGTATAACTAACAAGTTATAAAACATTCATATAATCTTGATTATATAGAGAAATACTGAGTAATATAAATCTAAGATAAGTTCTTATAATCATATAAATTTATAGAATTGAGAAAATAAAAATCTATTTAGAAAGATAAATAAAATAATAACATAAATTTTTAATAATATTATTGTAAAACTTAGATTTAAAAAATAAATACTTAACTAAAACAAAACTAAGCTACTGCGACAAGTAAATGATAAGTCTGTTACTCCAATGGACAAGACCCCACATAATGTTATGAATTGGTAAAATAAGGCTTCAAGGCATGAATTAGATTTGGCGAGTATCACTTTATTCTTTTATTTGCTTTGGTTTTTTATTTAATATCTAACTAACTATCCTACAAACTATTTAATACTATTACCTAGAGACTTCGATCCCTTTCCTACTACTTGGAGGTGCCAAAGCTTAGTATTACTTTATTAAAATTATGCTATTTTTATACATTTTGGTTGTTACTAATAAATTCTATTTACTTTTCAGATTCTATTCCCATTTTCCTACTATTCTACCATTATAGAATCACATCACTGCAGGTTTTACTTAAATCAGGTAAGTATTTGATTTTGTTGGTTTTACATTTAGTTTATTTTATTATAACTATACTAACCCATCCCCTTAATATTTGGATTCCACCTCTCTGAAACATTGCATTTATGATCAAATGCCTTCCCGTTATGGTCATATTCATCAAGCTGGGATTGTTTGGGTGTTTGAGGCATGATTATGCACATTTCACTATTTGTGGGGTCAATCGTGCATATTCAATCCTGGGTCCTGATCAGTGCTTGTGCAACATATTGTGATATATGAGCTATTACGAATTTTTTGCCTGTAATATTTCACTAGTGCTTATCTTATGTGTACCACATATTAGAATTCTGGCAGTTGTTTTATTACTTGATTGTCCTTGTGATTGTGGTTCTTTTGTCATATAAAAGAAAAATGGTTAATCTTCTTGAACCTTTTTGCTAATAGGGTTGGAGTTTCTTGATCGCTGATAGCTTCCCATCTATTTCATTATCAAAGTTGGTTTCTCCTTAAGGCCAAAGGTCTTAGCACAGTGAATTAGTGTAGATATTATATTTGTTTATATATATATTTTTTTTATTTTTTTATTTTTTATTTTTTATTATTATTATTTTTGTTTATTTATTTTTAATTTTAATATTAATAAGCAATTGGTTTAATTTAGGTATAATATCTGTCATTCTCTACTAGGATCAAATATTCAATTATGTATGTCACATGCAAATAAGTATCGGAGGATACCTTTAGTTTTGTTGATGAATTCTTTTCTGATCTCTAACTATTACTTCTTCTTTTTTTTAAGCCTACCATTCAAAACTGGGATCATTATTTTCGAGTTCAGTGTAAGTACTCATGTTAGTTCAATGTTGTGAATAATAATTTCAGTAATTTCTTTTGCTTCACCTTTAGATCCTTGATCATGTAATTCCAGATAAGTCTTAGTACTCTTGATTGTTTTTTGATTCAGTTCATCTATACTTTAAATTTATCCACTTTTTTATTCTATTAAGTATAGGCTTCAGAAAGGTTTTCAAAGTCAACTGACTTGCTTCCTAATTTGACAGCTTTATTAGATGTTCCATTAGCATTACCCATGTCAGAAGGTCTTTGATAATAAATGAAAGCTTTCTGTTCATCTTTTTCAACACCTATTTCATATCAATAGCAATGTCCAATAGTATTCGTGACAACAGGAGGGGCAAACTTATATGGTTGCAGAGGGCTATTACAAAGTTCATATTTATCCTTTTCTGCTGCATTTTCAGGAGGCTCTTTATTAGACTCAAGAAGATCTTTTTTATGGCAGGGTCCAGCACTATTTTATTCATTCGAGCTGCTGTTTTTATAGGCCTTTTCAACTTCAATTCTATTCTCATGATAATGACTAGCATTAGATGTTCTCTCAATATCAGCATCTTTTTAAAAACTCTTGATCGCTTTATGTTCATCCTTTTTAACTTCATTTTTTTTGTCTTTTTCAATTCCAATACCATTTTCATAACAACAGCCATCATTATATATTCCATTAACATCTCCTATCTTAGAAGCTTTCTGAAAATATTCAAATGCCTTGCATTCGTCTTTTTCAGCTTCAATTCTTTTTTCGTAACAATAAACAACATTAAATGTTAAGAGATGTGATGACTTAGTGAAGTGGATAAGTTGTCAACCCCTCAAGTAGTAGATTGGGAGTTCAAAACCCACTGATGGCGAAAATTTAAAAAACCACCTATGTTACATTGATGTATACAGGCATATGTGCAATGCTAGAGTTACACAAAGGAATGCAAACCAGCATTGAGTGGTGCAAACACAAGATAAGTTCTTGAAACTAGTAATATAACAATGGCTACCTATCAATCAGTTGGAATTAGTACCTGTAACACAGTCACATCAGATAACTGGCAGGTTATAGGGCATCTGTAGCTATGTAAATCTATAAACTGAGATAACTGAAGCCTACTTGGAAAAACCTGAGTAGAAAGATAACATGAATCTTCAACAGTACTACTATAAAGGCTAGACCTAAGAAACAGATACCAATATGAAAGGAATTGGACAGGCAAGAATCTTGGTGAAAGGTACCACCAACCAGGCTGCCGAAAGTCTCAAACTGGAGGAAAAGAACCTTAGGGGGTGGACTCTGGGGTACCAAGGACAGGTCACAGTCCTACTAGGCTATTTGGATTGGGAGTTTGAGATCAGAAACAGAGGTATACTAAAGTACTAGGTATATGCTATGAAGTCAGTACTGGGGTCTAAGTGAACTCTGCAAAGGTGAGCCCTGTTAGCAAAGATTAAATATGGGTAGTTAGTTAGCAGAGGGGCCCTCTAGAGCCCTATAGTCAGGTGACATACTCTGAAATATATAACAGCCTGACAGACGTACAGACAGAGAGGTCAAGGTTAGGTTAGACGGCATCTAATTAGGTGTATGGAAGCTTGTGCTGCTATCTGCTAGTGTAGTATAGGGGTAACCTTGTACAAGTTATGTAATTATAATTGAATTCACAATAAAGGCAGTAGCCACTATAACTAAAAGGCCTTAGCATAAGCAAAAAAAAAAAAACAACTTTAAATGTTTCTTTAGAGCCACTCATCTTTGATGACTTATACTCATCCTTTTCAGTTC